AACAAATGGTCAAATTGACATTATTGTTATTACTATAATTTATTACAGCCATCACAGTGCCTGGCGCAAAGTAAGTGCTAAACAAATGCTCAGTCCTGGAGCATTTGGAAATTCCCCATTTGGAAAAGAGGGACATCAAGGCAGGGAGAGTGAGGTGTGCAGAAGGGGTCAAGTTCTGCCTAGAAGCTGGCAGCCATGCTGACCTCCCTTCCTCCATCCCACCCCATTGATCCAGAAGACCTCGGAGGAGGCTTGACCCCAGGGACCCAAGAGGGAGGAGTTGCACCTGAACCTGCCTGGCCGGTGAAGGAGGGCAGGGTGGGAGAGAGGGTGGGCCCAGGGAAGGCCAGAACACAGGGGCTTCCCGGAGAGGGGAGACTGGGCTATGCCTGAGGGACAGAGTGCCAAGCTTAAAGCGGAACACAAGGACAGGGGCCAGATGATGTGGAGCCAAATGGCCGAGAAGACCGGCCCCGGAGCAGACAGGGGCTCGGGGGATCAGGCTTAGAGAAGCTCCTGTGGAACTCCCAGTCTGATAGGGAGTAGCCCCCCAGAGTCAAGCTGGTGCCGGGCTGGAAGCTTGTTCTTTCCCACTGCCCTCCTGCCAGGGCTGACCCTTTAAGATGCAGAACTGGGGTGGGGAGCAGGGGACTGCTGGGCCCCTGGGCCAGAACTCTGCACCGAGGTCCCCCCCCACCCAGTTTGAGTGACCTCGGCGGCCCAACTTCCCAGGGGTCACCCTGGGAGCCTTAGGAGTCAGCCAGGTTGGAATACCACCACCCCTCCTACATAGCTAGCCACCCCCACCCAGCTGATGCCACCCCAGCCCAGGGAGGGAGGAGGCTGTCTGCTCGGCCACCTGGGATGGCACAGCCTCCTACTAGTCAGAGAAGGACAAGGAGTGGCTCTCCGGGCCACCCTGGCCTCAGACCCAGCCCTCCAGAGGAACGAGCAGGGACTGGTGCGTACATCCTTCCCACCCTTTCACATGCCATGCCTTGCTGAGAAAGGGGGAGATACTCCCCAGAGCAAGTCCCTGGATTCTGGGGGATGTGGGAGATGATGTCAGGAGGAAGCCCGCTTTCAGCCACCAGCTGCTGCAGCAACGCACGCCCACGCACGCACACACATGTTCACAGGACTGCCCCACGTGGCAGCGCACACAGGCGTGTGCAGATGCACTCCCTGACAGCAGCCGACCTGTGCAAACCACAAGCCACACACCTACCCTCCCCAGAGATCTGAGGCACAGCCCTGCAGACAACCCAAGTTGCCTGCCGTGAGCGGGGCACTGCGCTAGGCACTGGGGCTATGGCAGTGAGCAAGACGAACCCAGCTCCCCCCAAGGCTGCCTTCTAACAAACAGATATATTTAAAGTCTAACTTTTGCATAGAAGTATTTATTTGCAGATGAGAATGTGTAATGTCTGGAGTTCGCTGGAAGCAAGGGATGTGGGGGAGTAAAATCTTGGCCCAGGGTGATCATGGCTGAAGCTGACATATGGGCACATGGGGATCTATTATATTGGTTTCTCTTTTTTGTGTATGTTTGAGACATACATGTGTATAGTTGGCTGTTGATAAATAAAATGAACAGTAAGGCAGGGCAAGGGGACAGAGGACTAGGACTAGGAAGACTCTTTAGATGATCAGAAAAGGCTTCTCCAAAGAGGTAACATTTTAAGCAACGACTTGAATTAACTGAGGTTCAAACCACACAAACATCTGAGAGGAAGAACATTCCAAACAGAGGGGGCCAGCAAATGCAAAGGCCCTGGGGTACAAGGGCCTCATGTGAGGAACAGCCAAGAGTACAGTGGGTCTGGAATTCTGTGACCAAAGGACAGGGGTCCAAGGCGCCATCAGAAAGGAGCCTTGTGGGCTGTGGTAGCAGCTTGGAAGCTGGAGTCAGAATGGCAGGAAGCCCTAGAGGTTGAAAGCAGGGTCAGATATGATTGGATTTTTTTTTTTTTTTTAAGATTCTATTTATTTATTTGAGAGAGAGAATGTGTGCGTACATGCATGAGTTGGGGGGAAGGGCAGAGGGAGAAGTAGGCTCCCCGCTGAGCAGGGAGCCGCACGTGGGGCTGGATCCCAGGACTCTGAGATCCTGACCTAAGTCGAAGGCAGACACTTAACCACTTAACCGACTGAGCCACCCGGCGCTCCTAGAGTACGGTCTTAAGAGATCACCCCGACTTCTTAAGAGATCACTCTGACTCGAGCTGGACCATCAGGAAGTAGTCAAGAAAGCAGAACAGCTTGGAAGCTACTGCAATTGTCTACGCAGGTGGTGGCTTGGGACAGGCAGTGAGATGGTGACATGGGTCAGATCTGGGATCTCTTCTGAGGAGCTAACAAGGCTTTGCTCATGGATGGATGTGGAGTGTGCAAGAAAGAGAGGAGCTAAGCCTGCCTATGTGTCTGGGCCTGAGCTTCAGGGTGAGAGGTGTTGCCTCTTCCAGGCTGGGGAGCACAAGGGAAAGCATGTGTGGCCAAATGACTACAGGCAGAGTGCCAGCAGGGGACCCTCACACGAGCGCAGGTGCACACACTGACGGGCACTCAGCAACCACACGGGTGGACACACACACTCCGGGTGCCAGGCGCGGGCACACACCCCATTCCCCTCCGCCTGCCTACCCTACCCCCCACGGAAGCCCCAGGGCCAGAGCACCGCCCCCTCTCCAGCTCAGCCTCGGCACTCACAAGAACCCAGTCCTAGCATTCCCTACCAACCCTCACTCTCACCCCCATGTGGGCCCCTCGGGTAAGGAGGCTCCCGACCCAGTTCCTTCCCAGACACCTGAGTCTTGCCCCTGACCCCTACCCTGCCTTCATCTGCCCAGCCCACTCTTCCATGGCCAGGTCCTGCTCCCACACTCCAGCCTGAGGCCCCACAGAAAATTATCAGTCGACAAATATTTGCTTGGTGCTCTCTGTGGGCCCAGCCTTCTGCCCTTCTGCCTGCTACCTTGAAGGCACGCAGCCACTCGCCGCCCGCCTCCCTGCTCCCCTCCATTCCCAGCACGCGTGCATTCACTCCACAGCAGGACAGCTGTCCCCGGGCCGCCCGGCCTGCCCGCCTGGGAAGGGCACAGCTCTGTGCCCGGACAGCCCTCAGCCTCAGTGGGATGCACTGAAGAGCGGCACGACCTGGCACAGCTGACGCCGTGCCTCTGAGCCCCGGTCCGCGGGGACACGTTGGCAATCATTCTCCCCTTCTGGGCAGTTGCGGACAACGAGGTAACTCAAGGGAGGCACTGAGCCCGGTGCCCAGCATGCAGCAGCCATTCAGCGTGAGTCGCTGTGCCCTTGGGCCACTCCCCCGGCCCCCCGCCTGGCTGGCCTGTGCGGCCCTGAGGCTGCGGCACACGGAAGCAGTGACATGCCCACACTCGGAAACGCATGCCCGGGTGTAACTGTGACAAACCGAGACTGAGGAGTGGCTTTGCCTGAGGTCCCCGAGTCTACCCAGGGAAGGCCTGACACGAGCCTGCATCTCTTAACTCTTGGGCCCCACTCTCCTGTGTGTGACGGTGTGTGTGACAGCCAATGAATGGCCCAGGGGACACCTCCTGCCCTGGGCTGGCGAGTACTGTGACAGCCAGGAAGCCCCACGGAGTCTGCTCCCCAAGAAGACATGGCGGCAACACGGGGCAAGGCTCAAGGTCTGGAGGTGGTCAGGGGCCTAGTCTCAGGCCCAGCCCTGCCATCTACCTACTGTGTGGCCTTAGAGGGCTCGCTCAGTCAGTTTTCTCACTTATGAAGTGGGGTGACAATATTCTTGGCCCAGCCTCTCTCTAGGGCTGCTCTAGGGCTCTGCTCAGAGGCTGGTTATCCCAGCTACCCTTACTGAACGCTTGCTATGTGCAGGCACTGTCCAGTTGACGCGTTTTGCTCATGTAATCCTCCTAACAGCCATCTGGAACTCCCGTTATAAATAGAGAAATGGAAGCACGAAGCAATGAAGAAACATCCCCAGAACAAGTCCGTGTAGGGTAGGATTCGCATAGGGCTCAGCCACTGCAGCCAATACCAGGGCCCTGCCTCTGGGTGGTGGAGAGAGAGGAAACAGGGGGCTTGTGGCTATCCGGGGGCAGCAGGGCTGTCTGGCGGAGCTTCATACTACCCCGCCCGTTACATTCCTGCCAAAATAGCAGCAAGGGGGACCAGGTCAGCCCAGCAGAGGCTCCAGGTACCTCCAGGAGGCCAACTCCCACCTCAGGCACCAACGATTTGCCTCCCAGCCCAGGTGACCCAGACCTGGGGACCATCTCACACCCACTCGGCTACTCCAGCACCTCCTTCCCTGGGCCCCCCTTCCTGGTCTGTAGAATGACGCCGGTCATCTCTTGCACGCAGGGTGGTTGAGAAATCCTGGCCAGCCAACATCTGCTGTGGTGCTGCCTGCGCTGGGGGAGGGTAGGAGCCCCAAAGTTGGGCGATCCAGGAGCAGCAGGGACTTGGCCCCTTCCCAGGTAGAGCCCCAAGGTGGCAGCCAGACCCCAGATGACAAAGGGTTGCATAGGATCTCTAGTGCCTCCCAGAGCTTCTTGTGCTTGAGTGTGTGCTGGGGAGCTGTGGAATGCTGACCAGGAGCCCCAGAGGGGACCACAGGCCACAGAAGGGACTTTTGCCAGCCCCCTGAGGTCCCTTGAGGTCCACAGGTATACAAGGGAGGGAGGGAGCCCTAAGTGCTCAAAACAGGCCAAAGGCCAGACCCACAGAGGCCTCAGGATGGGGATCAAAGGAGCAGGTGGTGGGGGCAGATGACCAGAGGATCCAATGCTAACCTAGGACCACGGTGGGCACTACAGGCCCAGCACCATGGTCCAGGAGTCTGCAAGAACCCACAACAACATTAGCAGGGAAAAAAAAAAAAAAAGCAGGACACAAAGAGAAAAGAAAAAGACAAAATCAACATTAATAAAGTTTAAATAAATATCTGTAAGACAAGGCATTGCCAAGTAACAAACTGAACCCAACTGAAACAGGTGTATATGAATGATCTTTAATGTGGAAGGCAGGCAAATTTTCATATGTGTGATAGGGTGTGGGATTCAGCCTCTAAAATTCAAAGTGCCAGAGGCCTGCCCACCGTCTTCCAATGTGCCATCCCCAAATCTTTGAAAGGAGGGGTCCGCAAATTGATTTGCGATTCCTTTTCTACCATGTGAGGGAATGAGAATGCAACAAAGAAATTCTGGTCAGTTGCAGAGAAATGAGGCGATGCTCCTCACACACGTTCATGTGTAAGGGGAGATCCTGGGTCAAGGCCGTGGCCACTGTGCAGGGCTGTGGTCAGCCTCTTCGTCCCTGGGAGCTGGTGGGACTCACCCTACCCACCAGCCCCTTCACATTTCAGCAGTTGGGTCTGCCAGCCTCCCGTTCTTTCACCTCTGGAGTGGAGCTCTGCCAGACCCTTTTCCTTCAGACCTAAGTGAGTCAATCGAGACTTTGAGGAAAGACATCAGGGAACTGGGTTCGAGTCCAGCTCCACCTGGGTCTCACTGTGTGATCCCAGGCCGGGCCCATCTTCGCTCTAGCCAAGCCTCAGTCCCTTCGTCTGTGAAATGGAACAATGCCGCCTACCTGGGCTGCTGTGAGGACCAAGGAGGCCACAGCTATGTGAGACTCGCTTTTTCAACAGCCTGGACTGCACTGGGGTTTGACTAACAAAACAAAACCAAAGGAAAAAAGGTTTGCGCTAAACTATCCTGAAACCTGGGACTGGGTTTCACAATCAGAGCTCTCTGCTGAGCGCCATCTGGGGGAGGTGAATTTTCATTTCTCTCCGTGGTTTTTGCCAGGGCTCCTCGTCTCCTACCCCAGCCCACGGAGCCCTACTGGAGCTGAACTGGAAGGGAAGCAGGTTGGGGGTTGGGGGCGGGGAGGACAAGCGGGCTTGGCTCCTGGAGGCCTGAGTCAGCGGGCGGGCAGGCAGGCAGGGCGGGCCCAGTCCTCACATGCTTGGGGAGGAGATGGTGCAGGAATGTTCTTCCCGCCCAGGCCTGGGCCCTGCCCACTGCGTCCCTGCCCTGGCTCACATGCACGCTGCGGCCTCAGCTCTGGCTGGACAGATAGGAGAGGCCTGGAGCTCTGTTGGGTGGGTTCAGCCAGGGGCCTATGAGGCAGGAGGGACTGGCCCTGGGGACCGGCCACAGAGCTACCCGGGGCTGGGCTCAAGCCCTTGAACACCCTCGGGCCAGTGGCATGGGGTGACACAGCCAGCTGCCACCCCTCACCAGACCTCGAGTTCCCCATCTGGACAGCGCCGGTGTCAGATGACAGGTGATGCCACTGGCTCCCCCAGGAGGTGGCGCGGGTGCAGTCTAGAAGCAGCGACACGCGTGACACCTTTGCTCTGAGCATGTGTGGCTTGTGGCCATGTGTCTGAGTGTGTTGCTCTGTGCGGGTAGGACTGCGGTACGGCTATGCGTGGGGACACAATGTGACCAGTGCTGGGAAGAGATGATGCCTGTGCAGCCATGGCCATGAACGTGAGCCGCGGGTGGCGCCGTGGCTGGGAGTGCCCCTGGGCGAGCACGTGACTGTGCATCTGTGTGCGGACGGCCAGGGCTGGCCCATGTCCCCGTGGGCAGGGTGTGTGGCTGCACGTGGCTGTGGCTGCTTGGGCTTGGGCAGCTCTACCTGTGACTTCGTGGACGTGTGGATGACAGCACGGCTGTGCCACGGGATGGAGGAGAGGTGCTGAGCGGGCTCTGGAGCCACCCGTCTGCCTGCCTCCCCTCCAGGCGTGGCACAGCTGTGGCATGGCGGTTCGTGGCCCTCCTGTGTGTCCGGGAGGCAACAGATGCAGGATCTGAGGGCTGCCTCCATCCCCAAGCCCCACATGTGGCCACAAAGCCGACTCCTTTCGTGGGCTGGACCAAGACTGGGGATCAGAGATTCAGATCCCCCCCCACCCCCAGGTCCTGACAGCTGCCCAGGGCAGAAAGAGGGGCCTTGTTTTCCACCCCCTCAGAGCAAAGTGAGGGAGGGTATTGGAGGTAGCCGGGCCCAGCTCTGTCTGGAACATCTGCCTGGCAAGTGACTGAGGCCAGCAGCAGGCCCTGCCACCACCAGGATGCTCCCACGCCTTCCCCAACTGGTCCCCCAGGGCCCTCCTTCGAGGGGCTCCGGTCAACCCAGACCGATCTCAAACTGCCCCCCCCAATACCCCAACCCACAGAGAGAAAGAAACCTGAGGGAATGGCTGTGACATCCTCACTCCCCATTACATAGAAGCCTGCCCCAGCCTAGATACCTCAGGATGCCCACAGTAGACCTGGCCCATCCCAACACTTCACTTCTGGACTCTTCTCCCAGGTCCAAGCCCTCCTGAGTAAAGTCTCAGACCACCTCCCTCATGCTGAGGATGGGACACAAGAGGGTAATACTATTCCCAGGGCAGGAAGCATAAACAGGGGACTTTCCAGGCACTGTGGGTTAAGAAAGGCATTTCCACCACCCCTCCCCAGACTGACCTCAGTAAGGAGCCTCCCCCACTGTGCTCAAGAGTACTGTCTACAGAGGCGGCCTGGAGGTCAAAGCTGCGAAGAGGTTAAGGCAGGAAGGTCCTTGGGTGGGTTGGAAAATGAAGGAAGGAGGGCAGGGAGGAGGGAGGGGAAAATTCCACAGAAAGTCCCAAATCTGACCTAATTTTGACCCAGGGCCAGGGGCCCATTCCAGAAGTTCCTCTGAGGAAGCTCTGCCCTGAACGGGGAGCCTTTGCTGCCCCTTCCCCACTGCACCCGCCATTCCTTACCCCTCTCACTGCTCTAAGCTCCCTGGGTCCCTGGCCTTGTCAAAGCCCCCCGAGGCCCAGACCCTGCCAGCCCTATTCTCCCACCAAGACCCCCTTGCCCCGAAAGAGAACCGTGGTTTGACTAGCACCCCTCCTTCCCACATGGAAACTGATTCCTGCTCATCCTAACTGGGACACCACTGAGGGCCCGGCTGGGGGTGGGGGGGGCAGCTCTCCTCAGTTCCCAACACAGAAGCCGCTACAGGACTGGGTGCCCTGGACTGCTTGCCCCACCTCTCCTGGACCAGGGCTTTCCTGGGGGCCAGGCTGGGGCATGCTTCCCTGGGGAGAAAAACCCCGTCAATTAGACTGTCCTGGAGCAGGTCTCCTCTCCCTCACTCATGCAAGTTCAGCCCTAGATCACTGAGCAGCACAGCCTAACCCCAGCAGGACTCCAGCTGTTTGAGAGATGGGGAGAGTGAGGTCTGGGAAGGATGTGTGTCCAGCTGAGGTCCACAGCCACCTCTAGCTCCCAGCTAGCACCTGCCATCAGCACAGTCCTTCCCCCAGCTTTAGAGGTTTTGTGCCCACCATGACCTCACAGTCTAAGAGCTCCCAGGGACACTTAGGGTTTCATCCTTCCCCCACCCTCAATCCCTTTGGGATCCAAACAAAAAAAAAAGCCATGCTTTTGTTGTCTTCATTGCAAAAGGTTTATCAAGAAAATAAGAAAGAAAAAAGACTCAGGCAGCAGGAGCCAGGAGTGGCCATGACCTCCTGGGGAGGCCAGCAGTGGGACCTGTCAGTTCCCCCAACCCGCCGGCCCACACCCTGGCCTGGGCGGAGGGAGTAGCCCCCCTGAGGATGTAAACATGGGTGGGAGACAGCACAACCTGGCTGGGGAGGGAGCCGGGGCTGGCATCACAGTGAGGCTGGCCATGGACATGCGGGCCCAGGACTTCTGGGGCAGTGGGCAAGCCCGCCCCCGTCTTTCTTCCCCTTGGCCTTCCCTCTGTGCAATAGGAAGGATTCTGAGATTCACTGGGGCCCGAGCCTGCTTGGAATGTGGAGAGCCGTTGCTGGTGAACTCAAATATCTGGTAACTTCTGGGTGTCCTCTCCAGGAAGGTGCCACCAAGGTCCTGGGGTCAGTGGCTTGTCTCAGCACCTTGAGCCCAGGGAAAAGATGCGGCATGGTCCCCTAACCAAGGGGTAATGGAGGCTCAGCAGGTGGAGGGGAGTCAGGAGGGAGTTGGCCTGCAGCTCCTCCTAAGGGGACAAGGTGAGGCAGGGACAGGGACATGGGAGGAAGAGCCCTCCCATCTGTCACACAGGCCAAAATCCCCACCAAGGGGGCACCAACTTACTTGGGAAAAGTAAGGGAGAGAAGATGGGCGTTTTCATGTCTTCTCACCTTTGCCCATGCTATTCGTCTCTTCTGAATGTGCCCCCCACCTCTGGCCCCATCTACTGTCTGGCAGGTCCTTGTCATTCTCCAAAACACTACTCAAATGTCACCTACTCTATGGAGCCTTCCCTGACCAGCAGAATGAGTGGTTCTTTCTTTAAGCTTCCAGGAAGCCCTTATTTACCATCAGTCACCCTCCGGTGCCCTTGTCTGTTTCTGTGTCTGACCCCACTTCAACTGGGGACTCCCTGAGGGCAGGCATGTCGCAGCCCTGGGACCCAGCAAGCATCTGACACGGGGCCACAGCAGGCCCCGGTGCCTGCTGAATGAACGCGGGGGTGGTGGCCAGGTGAGCGAGTTCTGTAGGTTCTAGCAGAGGCTAAGACCATGGCCTGACCTCAAGCGACTGACCCGGAGCCCAGGCCCCGGCCTAGAAGATTCCTGACCCCAAATCTCACCCCTGCTGTACCCCTACCTCTAAGAGCTGGGGGTCTTCCCCAGGGGGACCCATGACTCCTCCAAAGCCCACCCCAACCCTCCCAGCCACTACTGGTGCAGGTAGGTCTAGAGAGCAGAGCGCACTGCAGCGACCAGACCCAGGCACAGGGTGGGGGCCAGGGACACATGATCAGAGGCTGTCATACATGCGCAGCGTCTTCTCCAGCTGCTGGCCTACCCGCTGGTAGAAGAGGATCTGCTGGCGCAGGTAGTTCTGCATCATGTGCTTGAAGTCGAGTTCGCGGCGCTGGTGGAAGTGGTTCATTTCGGCCTGCAGGGCGAAGCCCACCACGCGGCAGCGCCTACGAATGCCATCTGCCTCGTCCTGCGCCATGCGGCCCTCGTCACTCATGCGTTGGCTCTCCTTCACCTTGGCGAAGGCGCCTGGCACGGGCACAGTGGAGGAGGACAAGGGAATTAGGGCTCTGGTCTCCCCCCTTTGCTCCCTATGCCCTCCACGAGCCCCCTCAGGGACAGCCACCTACGTGTCTCCCCCAGGACCATCCCCAAGCCCTCACCGTTGGCACATCTTCCCTCCGAAGCTGGGGCACTGTCAGCAGCCCACGGCACCCAGCCTGTCACAACCCTGCTGGCTGTATCGAGTTCCAGGACAGGGCTGTCCTTACCCAACACAGGCATTGATCACCTCTCACACTGGCTCCTAATCAGCTCAGACATCACCTCCTCCAGAAAGCCTTCCCTGAGCCCCCACGGCATCAGGTGCCTCCCAAAGTTCCCGGGGCTTCCATCAGCCACAGCTCTTACCACCCTGTGCTCACTCTGCCTGCCTCCCTCTGGTCTGTGAGCTCAATGTCTCCAGCACCCGGGGCCAGGTCTGGCCCCCAGGAGAGCTTGGTACATGTCTGCTGAGCTGATTCAATCTGTTCTTCGCTGAACTACTACAACAGGCTCCTAAGGGGCTCCCACCTCGGGCCCAGTGTCTGAGAGGTTCTCCACAGTACTGAAGAACAGCCAAGATGGGCATTCAAAGCTCCAGACCTCTCCCAGCTCCCCTCTGCCTGCACACGAAGGTCCCTGCCCATTTGCCTAGCCGGGGGGCACCCATTCCACACTGACCCCATGTTCATCAAACTCACCCTGCTCTTTCCTGCCTCCACATCTCTGCCTGCTAGATCTTTCTGCATAATTTAAGGCCCCTGATCAGGCTCAGGCACCACCTCCACACCAGAGCCTCCCACAGTGCCCCCAGGTGCAATGCCTCCTGACCCCTCTCCAGGGCGCTCCCCACCCCATCACAATGTTGATTCTAAAACAGCACCTCGGAGGCCACCTGGTATTTTCCTTTGTGTGTGTCTCCCCACAAACAGGCCCTGCCCCTCCTCACACCAGCCTAGAGGGACCAGAGGAGGTCCTGTAATAACCAGGTGACAGATGGGGGACGGGGGACGAACCTGGGCAGGGGACCCAATTTAGAAGAATCTGAATGAATCAGCAAGCAGTTGGTGAATGAATTCCAGTTCTGAATTAACAGACACTTGACTAATTGTGCACTTGAACCGTGTGCACCGTGGGGCCAGTTGCCGGAAGGAGGAGGCAGTTTGCCTGTGCCTGGCCCTCAACCCTCGCAGGGCTGCAGGGAATCCACTGTGCGAAGCAGAGGAAGGGTGTAGGAAAGCTTGGCATGCAGGACAGCAGCCCCCGCCCCGCCCCCGAGCACTTCAGAAGCATCCAATGCGCACCAACAGCACACTGAGGGCCTCCAAGATGTGTTCTTTTGACTCTTCACTCAAGATGTCTGATGCATTCAAGATCCTTTTTTCGGTCATTTACTCTATGTCAGGCCCAAGGCTCTACATGCTGGAAGTAACTGCAGAGGCCTTTAGAAGGAGCAGCACCCGTATAAGCGGGCAAGTGCATGGCTAACTGGCTAACGGGGGCATCTGGGGTGGACAGACACGAGTTTGGAGAATCTCCAGGGCCACTCATACAGCACTCGAAAGAACTCTGCAGGCACCAGCTCCCAACCCACTCAGTCTTTCTGCCACCCTCCCTGAGCCCCTCCTGCCTCCTATTCCATCCCAACTGCCCAGGTGTGGGCAATGGAAGAGGGCTCAGCCCAAGGCCCAGCATGAGGACCCAATAAGACACTTCAGAGCGAAAGAGATCCTAGAGGTCAGCTGCCCACCCCCGACCTTGTACAGAGGAAACTGAGGCCCTGCCGGGGAGGACTTGCCTAGGGGCTCCCAGCCTCCTTCGTGCCCCATATAAGGGGGCTCAGGGGTACCCCTCCATGGCTGGGGGGTTGGACACCACGTATCCTGCAGAGAGCCCATGCCAGGTCACCCAAGTCACCCCATCTGTGTGGGGACCCAGATAACAGACAAGGAACCTACTTGAAGACGAGACACTAACTAGCCTGGATTCCAGATGCCTGAAAAAATCTGGGTGCAGTAAGGGTGGACCTGTATTCCAGAAGGCTTTTCTGCCCTTGGAGGAAGGAAAGCCTCCTTTTGTTGATGAGAAGACAGAGGCCCAAGTAATAGAAACGCATCTATTGAAATTGCTAGGTATCCACAGACAGGGAGGGGGCCAGGGACGGGGGACAAAAGCTGTGGGGGGGGGGGCAGGCAGAGGTCCCACCCTGCTCTCTGTCACCTCTCCACCCTGTGACTCAGATCTGGGGCTGCCCAGCTAACACTAACATACCCCAGAGACAGGCTGGGAGTTGGGGCTCAGGCCTGTCCGGCATCCCCGCTACATTCTGTGTAGGCCTCAACCCTAGAGCTCAGGACCTAGGGGAGCCTCCTGCCCTGGCAGGTGTCCTGTGGGCTGGATCCCAGGAACCAGGAAAGGGGGTGGAAGCTTCAGAGCCCCAGGGTCCCAGGCATACTCCTTAAGCTCCCAACATAATGCATCCTGTCCCCACCTCTCCGAGGTAATTACCCACCCCCCCTCCTCAGGTCAGGGAAGAAGGTCCGAGTCCTAGTCCCAGCTGTGTGACCTCCAGCAAGCCACTGCTCTTGCCTGGGCTGGAGGTCTCCCAGCTGTCAAACGGGACAGGCTGGACCAGGTCTGATGCTGCTGACAACTGTTCTCAGCGGCACAGTGATTTTGAGTTTCCAGATCTGAAAAATGGGATAATATCTGTGCCCGCCCTATAGCGTAGTTAAGGTTTAACTGAACTTGTCTGTACAAAGGCCAGCACCCGACAGAGTCAGAGCTCAGGACGCTACGTGCAACCGTGTGCAGACTGCTTTTCAGTCATGGCAAGAACCAGTTGGTGGTAGCTGGTAGCAAGAGGCTTCTCTTCGTTTACGGAACCCTAGGAGGGAAGGGTTTAGAGGTGGCCAGGTGATGATGGCCTGGAACACAGAGGTTGGACCCACCCATCCCCCAGACAAGCACTAGGTCCTGCAGGGGACATGCTGCCTTGGCCAACCAGAGTCCCATGGCCACGTTCGCTCTGTGGTCCTGGACCTGCTTCCAGCCCACTAAGCATGCAGCTGAGTTCGTGGTACTAGAGCACCCAGCCTCCCTCCTCCCTCCCCCTCTGGCTCATCTACCCACGCACCCATCCCTTGGGGAGCTCCTTCACCCATCTGTCTGGCACAGGGGAAACAGCCTGGGCTGTGCGGTGACACCCCTGGGCCCCAATTCCTGCTCTGCGTACCATCCCACCTTGCTACACCTCATCTGGAAAATGCAGGGGACCACAGTAACTTCCCTGCCCTGGCTGGCTCACAGGGAGGGGCCCTGCACAGGTACTATTTCCCCTTGTCCCAGCCTAACTATGACCGGGGCCCCCTTCACCCCCCCGACTGCCCGGGGTTTAGATGGTTAGTTACATGGTTCCTCTTCTCTTAGAAGACCCCTGGACTGAGCTCCAGGGGCTGGGCCAGGGGGCAGACAGACTGGTGGGCTTCAACTCAGTGCCAAGCAGGCTCCGCGATCCATTTTACTAAGGGGGACACTGAGGGGAGAAAAACACCCTCACAGTCATCTCAGAAGCAATATTTGTCCAGACCCTGGCCTCCTGACCCCACCTAAGCCTCCTGTCTCCTTCCTTCCACGGCCTCTGCCACACGCTTGCCATCTTTCAGATGTCCGGGTGGACTAGACAGAATTCTGGAGACCTGAGGCCCAACTTTCCTGCTCCTTTCTCTGAAAAAGGGTCCCAGCCACAGGGCCAGCATGGAACTCCTCCTCCCCCCATCATCCCCCAAACCTGTCCAATTCCGTCTCAGCCAGATCCCAAGCCCCCCTCCCTAACTTGCCCGACCACAGCCCAGAAGGAGGAAGAGTAGGCCCAAATGGGTTGGTCCACTGGGGAGGGCTCCTCAGGGTGAGGGAAAGCAGGTGAGCCTCTGCCTAAGGTTGAAAGCACCAGCCCAGAGGACTGCCGGGCCCCCACTCTCAGAAAAGCCTCAAGTAGAAAAACTCAGAAATGTCCTCTCTCAGCTCTGTCCCTGCCCCGGAGTCAGAAAGGCCAGTGTGGTTTCACCTCTTCCTGCTTCAGTGCAGCCTGGCAGCCCTGGCTGGGTAAGGGGCTGCCTCCCTGCCTGCCCCCAGCTCTGCCCTGGGGGACTGACCGCAGCCACTGCCCACACAGAAACATGCTCACCAAGGAGCTGGCTGAACCAGCTTGCCCAGGCCCGAGCGCAGCAGTGACCATGCCTCCACTTCCGCCCAGGGAGACACCTGCCCCACAGGGCCCCGGCCGGCCCCCTCTGCCACATCCCTGGCCCAGAGCTCAGAGATCCGCTCTAAGGCATCACTCTGTTCTCGACCAGATCCTCCCCAGGAGTCTCCCCTCCTGAGAGCTTAGTGGCTCGACCCTCCCTTGTTTTCTAGATCAGGAAAGTAAGGTCCAGAGAGGAGGAGGTACGTCCCAGGAATACCCAGCAAAGTGGCAACACAGCCAAAACGAGAACTCAGGGCTCATGTCTCCTGAGGCTCAAAGAAGAGGGAAGGAGGACAGGAATGTGAAGGTGAGAAAAAAGGGCAGGGAAAGGAAGGAGGATGAGAAAGTGAGGAGAGAAAGGAGCCTGGGAGATGGAGAAGTTCTAGAAGTCTATCTCCTGGTAAAGTAGAGCAGGGCTGGCTTACTCCCGACTCTCCAGGATACTGAGGCAGAGGGTGGTGTTTGCTGTCCCCCAGGCTCAGTCCAGAGGTCTGCCTCGGGGCCCCACCCAGAGGAAAACTCTGCACCAAGCCAGGCCTGACCTCAGGGCCTAGGGGCCAGGGAGCCAGCCCCACGCCCTGCAGACGTTCTTCCTGAGTTACCAAGCAGCCCCAGGGAGGACCACACCTCTCTCCTGATGTCTGCCCTGCCTGTTGTCCCAGGACACAGCCACCTGCCAAGTCAGCCCCTGACTCACTGCTCAGGCAAGAGAAGCCAGGTTAAGGAAGAGGGAGTTGGATGGGCCATGTGGGTAGTGCCCTGAACCCGTGTTGCTCCCCTGGACCAGCCCGGGTGCCCCTAGGTGACCTGGGATGAGTCACTTCCCTGGCAGTTCCTTGACGGCCCAACAGTAACAGACAGGGGCCCATCCTGTCCCTCCCCCACGGAGGGGGGCCATGAGAACTGAAAACACAGCTGGGCTTGGGAACTGGCCAACATGGACGTGTCCTTGGGGAGGCACAGAAGGAAGGGACAGTCTCAGCTGGGCCACGGACTCCCTGTGCAACCAGCCTTCTGTGGACACCAGCTTCTTCATCTGCAAAATGGGGACAGCGAGCCTCCCGCACACAGACAGGGAGCTCACAGATAGGGTATGCGGTGGAAAGCACAGGCTCTGAAGCCACAGGGGCAGGGAGTGGAGCTTGAGAGGAGTGGGAAGACAGGCCACACTCTGTGCTCTTGTTATCTGTGTCCCTGTCCCCCACGAGCCTGTGGGCTCCTCAAGGGCAAGGCCTGGGCCCCAGTCATCTCCGTGTTCCCAGACTCAGCCTGATACCTTGATCAGCCTGATACCTGATACCTAGGCTCAGCACAAAATGGACAGATGAGCAAATGAGACAGAAACAGAAAAAACAGAATGCACGAGCAAACAATTGGACAATACAAGGTAAACAGCGAGCTCCATGAGGTCAGAGACCAGAGCTGTCTACAATAATATCCCTGCACCTAGACTAGCACCTGCTCTGTAGCAGGTGCTCGACACACTGTGGAATGAATGAATGAGACTGAAAGACTAGATGGCCTGCTCCATTCCCCTAGGCCATCCTCAGATCCCCAGTGCCCAGCAGAGCGCAGACTCAGCAGGGGTCTCCTGCCCACTCTGGCTCTTACCTTTCTGCAGGTGGATGATGTCAGGGAAGTTTGAGAGCAGGCCCTGGTAGAGAGACAGCGTGTCGAGCATCTGGAAGAGGTCGTTCTTGGGCTGCTCAGCGAACATCTCACCAATAGCTTCATAGGTACGGCCCGTGTGAGAAATGGCACTGTTGAGGGCCTCGGAGCTAAAGGGGGGGTCCATCTGGAAAGCATGACTGATGGCCTGAAAGGCATTGCCCAGCTTCTGGAACTCCTTGCGGAAGCCTCCCACATGCTTGCGCACCAGCTCAGATGCTACAGTGCTGAGCTGCAGGACGCTGTCGTCCATCTTCTTGCTGAAGGCCTTGAAGGTGTCCACACGGTCCTCCACATCCTGCAGGTCCTGGTGCTCCGTGGGGATCTGGAAGGTGAGCAGGAAGCTGGCACCCACCATCTCATCCTTCTCTGCCCTGCGTTTGCCCATCTTCCACTGCTTGTCATCCAGGCAGCTGAGGAAATGCTGGAAGCCCTCATACTGGGACAGCACAGGGTGGCTGGTCATGTGGTCCATCCAGAGGATGAGCCGACGCTTCCGCTTCTCAATAAAGTCTTCCTCGAAGCGACCTGTGGCCTGCTTCTCTGGCAGGTGGGGCACCGAGATGACAGTGAACTTGTGCAGCAGGCGGTTATAGAGCCAGTCGAAGTGTTTGTAGCGCCGGTAGACTGGCGAGCCAGCGTGGGTAGGTGTGAGCTTGTAGGAGATATAGCTTTTGATGCCCTTGAATTTGGTCTGTTTGGTGGGGTCCTCCACTGAACAGGCAAACGGGTGGGGGTTGGCCTTCCACTGGGGGCCACGAGGGCCCATTTCGATGGAGTACGTCTCAGCGATCTTGGCCATCATGGGCACATCACCCAAGATAAAGGCCTCCACTCCAGAGCGCACGAAGCACGAGAAACGGTTGAGGTTGCGCCCCACCACACTGCCACGCTTGGCAGATGCCAGGCTGTCCTGCCGCTCCAGGGCTGGCTTGGGCCGAAAAGCCTTGTGCTGGCTGGGGTAGGCACCAGGGTAGGAGAGGTTGAGAGGGGGGTGCCCGTTGGTGCCCAGCCCACCAGCCCGAGGCTCCTCCACCACTGTGCATCCATCGTCCCAGTCATCCCAGTCATCGTCATCATCCTCCTCGAAGCTGCCCTGGTGTGAGAGGAAGCCACCGCCCCCACCACTCCTGGAAGGGCTGGCCACGTCATACGAGCTCACCTGGGTGCCCAGAGAGCCTGGGCTGCTGGAGTAGTCGGCATGGTTGGAGCTGGGACCAGCCCGGATGATCTCCACGTAAGAGGCAGGGAAGAGCCCCGTCTCACCTCGGCTATTCTGGCCCTGCAGCCAGCCATCCAGCGAGGTCTCACTGAAGATGACCAGGTCCTCATCCTGATGGATGCTGATCTCCTCCTTGTTCTCGCTGCGGAAGTCATAGAGGGCTCGGCCTTTCAGCGCCATGGCTGGGCCAGTCGTAGAGAGAGAGGAGACAGGGTCCTACCCAGAACTGAGAATGCACTAGCGGCTCAAGGCCTGTCACAGCAACTCAGTCTCTCAGCCCCTAAACTGGGGTCTAAGCACCCACAGATGCTATCCAGCCTCCCACTACTCAAAGCAATGTCCTCGGCCCATTAACTGCCCTATTATTATTAGGTCTCCAGCACACTGCTGTGAGCAGGGAGGGATCATGTCCATAATCTGCCTCCCTTCCCCTGGCAGCCCCAGAACGGGTAGTCTCTCCTTCCTTCCACTCCCAAAAGAAAAGTCAAGTGACTTGGAGAAATCAGCTCTGAAAGGGCAAGAATTTGTTTGACACTTTCCACTGGAACAATGTTCTGAAATAGAAAAGAATCACTCAGAAACCACCGTTCCAGAAATCTGGGCAGCTCTGGCTCCCAGCTCCTTCTGGCTTCTCTCACATTCCTCTGCAGATCTGCTCCTTCCTCCTCCTCCTGGGCCACTGGGTTTTCAAATATCCAGAAAATCCAAGAGGGGCATGGAGAAAAGCAGCAGCCTCTTGAATCCAGTCCAAGGGTGGATGTGTCCGGCTTCCCAACCAGCCAGGCCGGGGAAAACAAGGACTGAGGCTTACACAACAGGCCGCCAACTCCGTCGACCCCAGCGGCCCAGCCCGGTCTGGCCTGGCCCCCAGCCCCCGGGCCCCCGGGGCCCCTGGCCCCCAAGCCCTCAGCCGGCTCAGGAGGCTTCCCCCACCCCGCCTCCCGAGTGGCCAGCCCCCACCCTAGGGAAGGAGGGGGTGCGACGAGGCGCTCTGGCGACTTCTGGCCACTAGCTGAGTGGCCTCTTTTGTTTGCTTAGCTCCTCAGCAGTTTCTGAGCCTGAAGCTAACCCTGATCTGAGTCCAAGGACCCCATCCAAAGGTAACCTCCGCGGTCCCCGGTCCCGGCGCGCAGGTCGTACAGACCCCCAGCCCTGGCGTGCCCGCACACACTCAACAGGAGTTTGGAGAGTGCGCTCCGGCGAGCAGATGGCGCGCCCGGCCGGCTGGCGGTCCGTCGTCCACTCGGCCCCGCGGTGTCCGGCCGGTGGGCGGCGGGCCCTCGTCCAGCACTCGCAGCCCCTCCGCGCCGCCAGCGAGAAGCTAGCTCCAAAACAACAGAAAAAAGGGATTCCGGGAGGTGGCGTCCGGAGAAAGGAGGGAAGAGCCGAGGGGGAGGTGAGGGGTGGGGAGAGGGAGGGAGGGAGGAAAAGCAGGCTGGGGAATTGGGCAAACTCCACAGCACTTCCGTGCGTCCTGGCAGGGCAGGGATGGCCCAGCTCCGCCCTCCCGCGGCCTGGGGCGCTGCAGCCCGCGCCCCCGCCCACTCCCCGCCCGCTTTCCTTCTGGCGCTCCGGGATGGGCTTGAGGGAAGGCGCCGGGACCCCCCGCCCGTCCACCCTCGCGGGGAGACACCTCTTACCCGAAGGGCTTGAGCGCCGCCGCCGCCTCGCCTCCTGGGTTCTGTCACCCTCCTGCCTTTCCCATGACGCAAGTGGAGGAAAACTCCGAAAGTTCGCAAAGTGAGGGCTTGTGACGGGGGCGCCAGAGCCGAGACCCGGGGCAGGGGGTTGAAGAAGGGTGCTGGGAGAGCCGCAGACAGCCGTTTCCCATTCCCGTGCCCCTCCACCCCACTCTGGCGAGACTGGATGAAACTGGGCCGTGGCGCAGCCTGGGGATTGTTCTCCGGAGGGGGCCCCAGGGCGGGCCCCAATGCCAGCAGCGCCCTCTGGGAAGAAGCCTGAGAGGTCTGGGATACTGGCCGCTGCAGGTCCTGGTACCTTAGCCAGACAGGGCCAGAAGCACCCCTGCCCTGGGAGACTTCCTTCAGAGGGAAAGACAAGACCCTACATATGTAGCAACAGGGAACAAAGCTTAGGCACGACCCGGCGCGGCCTCGGGGACTAGATTTTAATCGGCCGGCCGTCAGCGGCAAGGAGAGAGGGGTGGTCTGCTTAGGCTTGCACGAACAGGCAAGGGGGATCTGACCCTTGGTCAGCCCATCTGGGACACTCTGGGCACCGACTGCCAGGCACTGTGCCAGGCACTGGGGATTACATCACAACAGGCTGTAGGTGTTGTGCCCTCTTGGGTTTACAGTCCACCATCTTGTCCTTAATTCATCTATCATACTGTGTCTGTCTCACTCATTCAATCATGCAATCAAGGAAACATTAACTGAGTAATCATTCTGTTATCAGGCCCCCTGGGCTACAAAGATAAATTAGACATTGTCCTAACCTTCCAGAAGCTCAGGTATGTCAGGAGAAGTAGACCGGTAACTCCCTACCCAGTGTCACCAGGGCCATGAAATGTGCATGGGAGGGCACCTATCTATCCCATGGGTGGAGTAAGGATCAAGGCAGGCTTCCTGGAGGAGGAGGGGCCTAAGGTGGGACCAAGACTTTAGCCCGACTCCTCTTCTAGCTATGCCCTGGAGCCTTGCCTACCCCTTCTAGCTACAACTTCCTTCCTCCTCATTCTGACTCTTCCTACTTGCTGCAGATTAATTGGCCCAAAGTAGATCTGCTAAAGGTGGGCACCTTTGATGTTTTGAGGGGCGAAGGGTGCAGGCCTCTGGCTCCAAAACCCACTTTCATCGGTGCAGTGAGTAGATCCAATTCCCTATACAGGGATAGCATATGACCTGAATAAAGGCTTATATACAAACCCCAGAAGGCCAGGTTTTTTTTTTTTTTAATTTTTATTTGTCACTGTAGTTGACATATAATATTACATTAGTTTTGGGTGTACAACATAGTGATTCAACAATTATATACATTACCAAAGGCTCACGGTGGTTAAGTGTAGTTACCAGCCCAGGGATTAAATTGCACAGAGAAATACAATTGGTCAGGCAGACCTGAATTTTTGCATCAACAGCGCAAGGCAGTCTGAGCTGCTCCTTAGGAAGCCCAGTTATCAGGTTAGCTCAGAACCTGGAAACCCCATGATAGGAAGAGATGGTGTGACAAGTCTTTCAGCCAAAAAGCCTTGAGATCTTGTCCCCCACAATAGGGCCAGCCCTTGATTCTAAGGATTCGGGTCATCCTACTCTTGCTACAACCAGAGCTGGAGTATGTTTCCTCCAGCTACTTTTGGGACACCCCTTCTCTGGGATCTCTCTTCAGTTCACATAGCCTCTCTCCAAGCTGAGCCTAACAACAGCAATTACTTCATTAGTGCCACATACTGTGATAAACATTTTATCTTTATTAGCTCCCTTAATACAATCGATGGGATTTCTGCTCACCCGAGCAGGATCCTAGTCCAGCTACCACTCTATGGCTTTTAGTTGGTTCCCAAACACCTCAGACACAGTCATAGACCAAGCATCTTAGACTTACTCCCACATCTGTTCTGGGTGGGTTTTTCTAACTCTCAGGGGCCACCCTTATTTCCAGGTTCTTGGGGAAAATTCTCTTGAGCCTCACAGAGATTTCCATCCAGTACTGATATCTTCCATTCCCTCCCTTTCAGTGACCCTCTTCAAGCCTAGGGACAACACAGCGCGAGCGCGTGCGC